GAGACACTGTCTAAATTTTTTTTGCTATAAAATGACTGTTTTCATGATCTCTTTCTGTATAAAGGTTTTTTTATAGAGTGTTTATCAATTTACTCATTCATTAATCCATTCATTCCTTCATATATAACTTGTGTTCATCAAATATTTACAGAGCTCCTACCAGAGGAATAGAAGCTTTGAGAGAGCCTGGAGTATGCTGTATTTTTCATTCTACCCCAGTGTACGTCATAATACCCTATATATTACAAGATGCTGAATAAATGTGAAGAGACTTGTGAATGGAAAAAGGGGCTATGTAATAAACGTGACAAGCTCAGGGGGCCACATGGCAGGCCTGACAAGCACAGTGACCAAGTGTAACCACCTAAGATGGTCTGATCATAAATTCCTAACTGAGCAGTCACGTCCCCAGCCTACACCGTCCTTAGCATGAGCTCTGTATGCTGTTCTTATGCATCGAGGGTACATACTTTTGAAATGTCAGAGTAATTTTCTTTTCCTACCCCTCTAAGGCACAACCATCAAGACCAAAGCAGGAGACCACAGAACCCTGCATGGTTATCTTGTTCTCCCCACCCCAGCTCTGCGTGGTGCAAATGTTAGTTATTAACTAGCCTGACCCACCAATGTGAAAGAAGTGTGCGCTCTTCCATTTTGCTTTTTGTCTGATCCTAGAGATTTCCCCTCTTCGCTTTCTCTCGCTTCCTTAATCGACCACCAAGGAATGGGTTTCACTTACTTTCCATACATTTTCTCTTTTTATTCTAAATGCTTAAAAGGAACTGCAAAATTGCCATTCTCCGGAGCATTTTCTCAGTTTGCTGAGATTTGCTTCCAGGCATGTCCTCGAAAATTTGGCTCAAATGAACTATAAAGTTTTTCTATAGGTTTGGATGGTCTTTCATGAACAGATTGAAACTTTGCTGTGTACTAGATCAACATATTTGAAGGCAGGGTCTTGGTCTCTATTAGGTGTTTGGTTTTTTTGCCTTAGCTAATTGTTTTTTTGTTTGTTTGTTTTGCTTTTTAATGTTTTTTTTTTTTGAGTCTCATCTCCCCCATGAGTATTTATATTTCCCTTCAATTATATTATTTTTTCTGCAGTAATATTTCCAAACACCCTTCCAAGGGATTTGTCCCAATCTTGCAAAAACTAAAAAGCATTGAAATTGTTTTACTGGGTATTTAAAAGGTAAACTAATTATAGTTTTATATTATGAGTTTAATAATACATGTTTTGATTTGTTTATTGTTCATCGTTATTTTTTTCCTGAGATTTTGTTGAAAAAAATCATATTTCATCTGATTGAAATGAATATTTCTTACATGTATGCTCAGAAAGGAAGTATGAAAAGCCTTGTGCTGTAAGAAGTTACCATTTTAATGACTGGCTTTTTATTTTTCAGGATTTAAAGGTGAGAAACAATGTCTTGGGCCTTTGATGGAGAGGTAAGGGGAAGCAGGCATTTAGCTTAATTTTAAATTACAGTATCATTGTCCTGCTTCTGTTTCTTAAACAGTACAGCCGTTTAAAATTAATTTTTAATTATAGCTAAAGAGTTTACTACCATACTAAATAAAATGCTTAAAAGGCAGGGTTATCGCATTGTAGCTGAGGGCATTTATTTGAAAAACCTGAGCAGAATTTTCATCCAGAGAATACAGATCTGTAGGAAAAGGAGCTTTCATTAACAGATTGAAAAACTCAGATATACTTTCAGAGTGTGAGGAAAGAGGGAATTAGATCTTTCTTATTTCTATATTTCATAGTAAAATTTCGAGAGGCATTTAATGGTACCTGTTACTTTTCTGTCGGAAACGAATTTTATCAGATTGAAACTGTAGTTCTTTTGAGGAACAAATCTACTCGAAAAGGTGTTGAAGTTTATTTATGATTAAATCCACACATAATTGAAATCTTTCCGTTTGCTAATGTAATGTTTTTCTAAGTGCCAGTCAGAATGTGTAAAAAAACTATCACTCACACATTACCGATGGGGATGGAAAATGGCACAGCCACACTGGAAAACAAAGAGACTTTCTTAAAAACCAAACGTTTATTTATCATCCGGCCTGGCAATTACATTCTCAAGCATTTTACCTGGAGAAACTAATGCTTATGTTCACGCACAATCCCGCACTACAGGAATGTTTATATCAACATTGTTTGCAATAGCTCTGAAATGGAAAAAACCCGGATATCCTTTGACAGGTGAATGCTAAACTGTGGTGTGTCCATATTATGGAATGCTACTCAGCAATGAATAGAATGGACTATTGAAACACACAGAAACGTGGACGAATCCATGGAGAATTACGCTGACTAAAAATGTCCAGTCCCAAAAGGTTATATGGTGTTGAATTTTGTCAAATGCTTTTTTTTAACATCACATAGTCATGTGATTTTTCTCCAGCTTAGTACGATGATGGATTACATTGAGTGATTTTCAAATATTGAATCAGCCATGCCTCCTTGGAATAAAGCACAATTAATCACTGTGATTTTTTTTTTTTTTACTGTAGGATCACTTTATGACTTTTGTTTTTTTAATTTTTATTTTTCAATTAGGGTTGATGGTTAATATTATTTTACATTAGTTTCAAGTGTACAGCATAGTGGTTAGACATTTATGTAATTTATGAACCGATCCCCTGATTAGTCTAGTACCCACCTGGCACTATACATAGTTACACAATGTGATTGACACTATTCCCTATGCTGTACTTCACATCCCTGTGACTGTTTTGTAACTACCAATTTGTACATCTCCATCTCTTCACCTTTTTAACTCATTCCCAAATCCCTTCTCGTCTAAATATCATCAGTTTGTTCTCTGTATCTGTGAGTCTGTTTTCGTCTTGTTTGTTCATTTATTTTGTTCTTTAGATTCCACATATAAGTGAACTCATATGATATCTGTCTTTCTCTGACATTTCACTTGGCATAATACCCTCTAGGTCCATCCGTGTGGTTGCAAACAGTAAGATTTCATTTTTCTTTATGGTTGAGTAATATTCCATTGTATATATGTACCACATCTTTATCCAATTGTCTATTGATGGGCAAAAGCTATTTATTTATTAAGAATATTTATTGTTTTCTTTTATATATATTGCAAACAATTTGCAGTTTGTCTTTCAGCTTTGTTTAAGAAGGTTTGTGTAACATAGATTTTAAAAATAATTTTCAAAGACAAACGTGAAAATCTTTTCCTTTGTGATTTGTGCTTTAGATACCAAAGCCCTAGGTTTCTAAAGCATCTTTCTCAGATATGTGAGATGAGAATGGGGGGCCAATGATAACAACTACTCCAGAAGGTATTCTGTAATTGACCGTGTCTGTAAAGAACTTTAACTTTTCCTCATCGAGATAAATGGACATTATAATGTGTTTTCAGCCTCTAATCTTTAAGCATTTCTAACCAAATAAAATAAGATAAAAAATAAACCAGAAATATTATTATGTTTGATTCAAAAAAGAACATATTAAAATGAGGACTTTTTTTTTTTTACCCTGATAAGATTAGAAACAGCAGAAGCAGGAGGTAAGGAAAATCTGAGAAAATCAGAATATTTAAGTTTTCTCACAGATGATTTAGCATCTAAATAACATAAAAGACTTCCCCAAACTCAGGGAAATATTTCCAAGTATTCTAAAATATTAAGATCACTATCCCTGACTTCGGATAAAGAGAATAAATTCACCTCTATATAATGTAAGAACTAGATCTGTTGCCTATATATTGCAATACTCCAGTATCTCAAAATATAAAATATCTAGTAATTCCTTATAATGGATTTTATTGTTCTATTCAACATTCCAAATATTTTAGGAAGATTTGAATGATGGTCCATTTGTTGTTTCATTGTATTCATTGTTATCTATTACTTATGTAGAGCTTCTTTATCTTCTGTTTTAGAGAAGATATATTAATCCTATGTCATTTCAGATGATGATGAATAAAGTGTTGCAAAATACTTGCATAAATAATCACTGAAACTTTGTTTAAATTTTTTATATATTTCCTTAAAGACTGTTCACAGAATACAACATCAGATATAACAAAAAGTTAAACAAGTATCTCATTTCTTTTAAGTAATACGTTTCTGGCACAAGCCGGACAGTTGAAGCCACCATGGTTGTGATTAAATTTTAGATGTTTCTGAAAATCAAACATTCACAAGAAAGAACACTGACTATGCCAGCAAATGGCACATTTAACCACTCCCTTACTCAAGGCAGAAATCTTGAGTAAGGGAGATAGTGCTGTGATAATCCCCTCACTAATCTCTCTGTGTCTGTCACCACCCATTGTCTATAAACTACAAGTACGTGCTCTCACTCTTCAAGGACAGCTTGGCGAGTTGAATATCTTTACTTCAGTCTCACCAAGGCGGCCATAGACAAGACCTTTCATAGACCGTCTCCTGGACCCCCATCCACTCACTCTCCTGCGGCCACACAGGAGTCCGTGATGAGAAGACCTCTTCACCTCTTCCCCAAGCAGCTCGAGCACCCAGAGCAGAGCCAGGCATAGCATTTTCATTCAATATTACATTAGCTGAATAACTGATTTTATGAAGAAATTGAAGCATTAATAGTAATTGGTTCCTGATTTGTTTGGCCAACTCATCGAATTAACCATAGTTCTAAAAAACAACACATACGTAATAGTTCTCCTATTTCTAAGTCTCTATCTTGATATTCTTCCTTTTAAATTCATTGCTTAAGAACTAGTGTTCTAAATTATCTTTTTAAACATTTCGTGGAAATCAGAGACTCTTCTACCTTCATGAACAGTCCTTGCTTATCACTTAGGGACGTAGTTGGTAATAGTCCATTAAAATAAGTATGTTGAGGAAAGTTTAATAACTGTACTACGCACAAAAGTGAGGGCAATCCAAAAGAGTTTAGGAAAACCAGCAGAGACTAGTCATGGCGAGGAGTCATTCCCACCCTTAGGCCCCACCGCCTAAGGAATGGGTAAGTTATTGGATACCTCTTGCAGAAGGACACGGGTCAGGTTGTAGTGGAGCAAAAGGAAGTTAGTCCAGGAAAATAAATATGATCTTGTTTTCCTCTTATCCTCTGACATCCTGCAAGTTCCCCTGGCTGACTCCAGCTGGAAACCAGAGGGCAAAAGAGCATGTTAATATAGTGCATACAGATCAGCTTCCCAGAATCCACAGATCAGACTGGGAGGAGCTAAAGAAAAATATCTGACATACCTTACTATATGCCATCAGGGGTCCAGATGTTAGGACTGCCTAATGACCAGTGATAAAGTTCCCATCTCATTGTGTTTCCTGTACTAGACCAATGTCTTCCTGGACAGATCTCCATCTACTGTTCTCTTCAACTGTCTGCTCTTGCTCTATGTCATTCACTAATGAGATCGCTCTGGATAGTTTGTTACAGTCTTTAGCACCAATCCATCTCTTCTGTCTGACTTTTCCTTGTAGGTCTGACTTTACTTTAAATTGAAAAATTGTTTTTGACTCTTGAGGCAGTTAGTGTAAGAAATATGATTAGAGCTCTTGAGAGTGAATAAGGGGCATAGAAAACTACAGTCTCAGTTTTCATATTCAATAATTTAATTTGAAAACCTCAAACAGCTTCATCAGAATTTATCTTAGAATGTTTCTAAAGATAATTGACAACTATTTTTTTCATCTTCCCCTCACCAAAAAAAAAAAAGAAAAAGAAAAGAAAAAATTTTAATTCTAGCAAATTGGACAAATCTTAGTGATTTTTGAATGATTTTAAAAAGCGAAGATAGTAGTCATATATTTGGGCATATTATTTTGAAATAAATTTTAAAAATTAAGCCATTGGATCCTATAGTCAGCCTTACCAAGCACCATTTGGGGATGAGATAGCCAACTGGTCAGCATTGACATGACCTCAAGATCGGTTTACCCGTGACAATATCCTGAAATCTTGACTCATACCTGAGAGTAGCCCCTAAAAGTTTCCTTACAAATTTGAACTTACTCAGGAAGGAATATACAGTATCCTCTACTGTAAGCATATATGAAATCTATTTATTGTCTATTCATTTTCTACAGCCTGAAGGTGAAAGAGCAATTTATTTTCTCATTTACAGTCAATCAAACTGGCGAAGGCCAAATCATTTAACTTCTTATGTCACATATTCTTCATCTGAAAAAGGAGATAATAGCAACTACTTGTAAGAGTAGGTATAGGGATTAGCTTGGGTAAAAAGTATCAAGTTCAATGAAAAAGTCTATAGGCATTTACGAAGGGGCATTTTGTCTTATCTGAGGTTACTAGGAACTGTTTGAAGGCAAATGTCAGAGCATCTGACAATCTTAGAAGTTCCCAAAATTTCAATAACTGTAAGAAACTTGGGAGGGTTTAAGGGGAAAAAAATGTCCAGCCTTATCGAAGCTGCAAATTCTTAAGAGCTGTACTGATACACACACACACACACACACACACACACACACACATATGGTGTGGGAATAAGAGGCTCAATTAATTATATCAGGTCAGCCAGTATAAACCAGGCCTGGACCCAGGAAAACAGGTCAAGTTGCTTCTATGTGCTTCCTGCTTGAAATAAACTACTTTTAGGATTTGAGTTCTGGCCATACATGTACCAGCTGTGACCTTGGGCAATTACTTGGTTTCACAGAGGCTCCAATTCCTCATATAAAACGGGTATAATAACAACTTCTCATATGATTATGGTCAGATCTAAATAATAAAACGCCTGGCATATAAAATGAGCTATATCTGTGAAAGATATTAATAATCTTATTACAGTATTAGGTTTGATTATTTAAGCAAACGACTAAAGAATTTGAGCCATGTCATTAAAGGAAAGAATAATTGCATCCTGGGTGTTTCTGAGTGAATTCTCTGCTCTGGGAGAGGGGCCCTGAGGGTCCAGAAGCCTCATTTGTTTCAGTAAAGCACTGTCTGGGTTGATGGGCTACTTTGGGCTCTGAAAAGTACAGTTTGAAAAGCCCTGGACCCTTTATTTCCTGTTAGAGTCTTCCACTACAACATGAGTTATAGATGTACAGCTTTTATCAAGTGCCCTCTTCGCCAGGCACTTGGCTAGGAACTTTCAATTTCCTCACAGTTACTTCTTCTAATCCTCAAAATATTGATTACATAAATATATATATATGTATATATATAATTTATAGCAATACCATGTATATATAAATATGGATTATATTTACTTGTGAAGAAACTAAATGACTTTCTCAAGGACAAATAACTAGTGAGTGGAAAAAGAAATGTTGGATAGAGAGGGACAGCAGTGACCATGTATCAGACACTGTCTCAGGGGGACAAAGGCGGATGTGAGCTTTGTACTTATAAAGCTCACCCTCTACAGGCAGAGACAAACAATTATACAAATAATCTAGTCAATAAAAGTGCAATTATGAAAAATGCTATGGTGCTCTAGTGGAAGGATTTGATATAATTAGAAAAGTCAGGGGAGGCATTGCTGAAGATGCCATCTTTGATTTGAGATTTTAAGGATTCTCAGGAGTTAGCCAGGTAATGAAGCGTGAGAAGAGCTTTCCAGGCAAAGTTATTCCAAGTGCATGTGCAAAGGTCCTTTGGCAGGAGAGGGCATGACGAGGGCAAGTGTGACTCATAACCATATGGCAAGAGCAATGAAATCACATGGGACCGTGGTGAAAGGCGAGGAGGGGGAAAGAGAGGCGCTCACGGGACGTAGGCCAGATGGAGGAGGCTGGACATTGGCGAAAGAGGAACTCACTATCAGGTTTTAAGCCCGGGAGCGACATGGTCAGATTTGCCTTCTGCATCGATCGCTCTGGCTGCAGAGAACGAGACGGACGGCACATGGTCCAAGCTGATGTGGCGAGATCGTTGAGGCCACTTGCGTTATGTAGTGGCATTAGTAGAAATGGGAGAAGTTGGTCAACTTGACAGATGTGATATTTATGAGGTAAAATGGGGAGAACTTGGAATGTGATTCAGGGAGCCAGTCGAGGATAATGCCATGGTTTCCATTTTGTGTGACCGAGTGGCTGATGGGTTAAGAAACAGCAGAAAAGGGTCAATTTTGTGGATAAAGTCATGAATGTAAGTTTTTATATTTGGTGAGTTTGAGGTACATTTGAGATACCCCAGAGGGGTTCAGAGGCAGTTAGATAGGTTGCAGGTTCATTTGAGAAGGCTGGGATGGAGATAATATTTATGCCTCATCACATTTAAAATAAGAAAAGCTGAGGTTATGGATGAGATCCTGTTGGGAGAAAATAATGAGATGGGAGAGAACCAAGTATGAAGTCTTGAGGAACTTGAATTGCCCATTGCTGGGAAGGCTGAATCTGTCTTTATGACCATCAGGGAGGCTAGAGAATTTCTACTTTTAGATGGGGACAAGAACGGATGTCAAATGATGTTTTGACCAACTCTGAGACTCAAAGGATCTAAGCTTACCACAAACTTGAGTGAATGAATATGTCTGAAGGAATCGTTTCCTAGACCTGGGGTTGGCACCACCCCACTGGCAAGAAGTGGTCGTCTCTAAGCCCACGCGCCCCTGCACGTCTTGGCCTGTACCTTTGAGAATACTTGGTATTAATCTGTGTGGGCTTTGACTGGTTTCTCCTTGTTTGGAAGAAGGAAATGGATTCCAGATGAATAGCGCAAAGGAAATCATTTGGGGAAAGCGCGCGCACGCACACGCACACACACACACACACACACACACACACACAGGAAAGCTTCCTTACACACCTAACCCAGCAAGTACTTCTAGAAACCTGAGCAAGTTTTGAATCCCTCTGCCCAACACTTTTGCTATTTGAGAGATGGAGAGCAGAGCTCAGGAGCAGTTTGCATCTCACAGAGTGCAAGCCAGAGCTCCCACTATTTTGCATTGAAATTAGTACTTTTTCGAATGAGGAATTTGCATTAGGTGGTATTTTTCCTTTCTTTCTTTCTTTCTTTCTTTCTTTCTTTCTTTCTTTCTTTCTTTCTTTCTTTCTTTCTTTCTTTCTTTCTTTCTCCTTTCTTTCTTTCTTTCTTTCTTTCTTTCTTTCTTTCTTTCTTTCTTTCTTTCTTTCTTTCTTTCTTCCTTCCTTCCTTCCTTCCTTCCTTCCTTCCTTACTTCCTTCCTTCCTTCCTTCCTTCCTTCCTTCCTTCCTTCCTTCCTTCTTTCCTTCCT